ATACAAACAAAGTTTCAAGAACTGACACTGGCTGCCTAATAGATCCTATCTCTCAATAGGTACCATTGTAATAAGATAATCTATCACTCCATCGGTCCGTGGTTTGAATGTTGAGGCTGATAAAGAATGGTGGATACAGATCATATGTCCCTACACTTTGAATAGAACCTAATTTTTGTATCTGTATTCTGTCAGCTTTAGACACAAAAACAACATGTTTGAGTTTAGGGAAGGATCAGGGTTTAGGTTGAGGTTAACATCGTTACAAACAGTAAGTAGTTAAGACCTCGTAACAATTTAGAGTAAAACAAATGTTGACTTTGAAACAGGAAACAAACAGTGGTCTCCTCGGTTGTTGACCTCTCCATCCGCTCTGACCTCCTTCCTGAGCTGACTTTGTGGCTAAATATGTCAGATCACTTCCTCCTTTGCTCCTGTCAAAAAGCTACTAAAGAGCAGTGTCACAATGAAACATATGGCTGTAATAAGATGCTTTTTAGAGACCAGTCTCATAGGTTCATTTATTCAAATGGGCTCAGCTATTATACAGAACTTTTCAGTTGGAAGCGTTTTTGGCTATAGAATAATTTGAACACTTCAAATTAAAGACATAAACCTATTTCATTTTCTCTGCTATTTATGTTTTGTTTTCAATTCCTGCAAATTCTGTCTGCATATACAATGCTATTAAAGTTCTTAACTTTTTCCAAGACTGAGTGGTTATTTCAGTGTAATGTGTAAAGTAAAAAAGTGCACAAATAAGACATAGCAGCTGGCAATCAACTAGCTCTGCAGTATTACCCATGGGCATTCTTCATCATCTGATGCATCCAGTGTGAACTACATAAAGGTATGCTTGTATATTACTTTTACATTGATCATAACTTGGGCAGTGACGTCATCAAATTGGGAGTGACAGACAGTTCAGATGGCAGAGCGCTGAGGATATGCACAAAAGGTTTGAGGAGCAGAGGTTCAACTCGAAAACAAACAGCCGTAGAGTCTCTCCTGCCAAACGAAACCCCTTTCTGACTGAGAATGAACTTGAGTCAAGTCTTTTTGTAATTCATTTGTAATTTAAACATCATTCAGAGGACAATAAATTACTAACATGATAAATGGAAAAACATTCTCTTTTAAAAAATGGAACTGAATTGTTAACCAGTGCAGTTATGAGCTTTAAGCCTATTTTTCAGAGATGGTATCAGGATTAATGGAGGCCACCATTTGTACATTAGGCATGGCAGATCATTGGTAAGCTTTGACAGTGGCACTCTGTCTAAAGCAGGGCTCATCCTTTTAAACACCCACTGAGCTCACTGCTATTCTACACTCACACAAAGAATCACTCTGCTTTTCGCCTCATTTCATTCCCTTACAGAAGGATTAGAGCCTTGTAGCACAAAGGTGTTGCGCATTCACATGCACACACTTCCTTACTCCTCTGTCTCGGTAAAGACTAAAATTTTATTTTAGAGTTGGATATGGTTTCTTTAACTTAAATCCCTAAAGCAATCTTCAAATGAAAAGACTGACTGAGTATGAAGCCGCAGCCACCAGTCGATTATCTTTGCTTCGCATAAAGACAGAGACAGAATGTCTGTGCCAAAGTAAGAAAATCCTACCTCCACCTCAATTATATTTCTACATAAACTGACACAGATGGTACAGTTTCTTCAGTGTTACACCTTTCATTACATCCATCCCATAACTTTATGCCTAAATCTCCAGTAAACCTTAGCTCGGGGGGGGCTGCCATCTGCCTCGACTGCAATCTATACTTTTCCTAGTTTAGTTTAGTTGAGTATCTTTTTTTTTCTTTTCTTTTTTGGCAGAGAGACACACACAAACACACACTCTGTTCGATGTCTGCTGAGCTGGCTCTGTCAAAGGAGGCTTTCAGTGCAGCAAGGTGTCCCCTGATGAAGACCTGGTTCTCCTACAGGAAAAAATGGCAGCTCTCTGTGAGTCTCCCAGCCACAGATAAACTGGCCTCAGAGATATTGAGATTTCTAAAATTAGTGTTGTCTGAATGCTTCACGATAACAAACCCTGAGATTTCACACTGCACACTGGTAGTCACTTTGTTCAGGTCCCACTGTTGCTCTGTGAGTAAGCAAGAAAGAGAAGCATAACAGAAATACAGGGACTAAAAGGTGATTAAGATTTTGTGTGTTCATCTATAGTGTTTTTAGGTGTCTGTCTAAACTGTGGTAACTGTGCACACGTGTGTGAATACAAAGGGTCCTCTATGAGGGTAGAGGGCACCACATAGGACATAAATCAAACAAATGAGAGCCTGTATAAGATAGCACACATGTACATGTTAAAACTTCACTAATACTCGCAGAGTAAAATCCTGCACAAAACTCATTTTGTGATCGCCACTTTGAATGCATGTATAAGTTTCCAGGACTTTGAAAATGAAGCAGATGAAGCACACATGTAAATTTTAGTATTTACACATGTGCTTTTCACACTATGAAGCAGAGAATAGAGAAGTTTATGTAAAGTGTAAAAGTATGTCAGAACATTTTACAAGTGGCACACATTCCAAATAAATAGTCACAGATAAAAAAAAAAAAAAAAAAAGAACAAATATCAGGAGGTTACATGTTTTATCGTTGTGATTAAATTATCCAACTATAACTAAATGGAAGTAGACATATTTTCAGGCTTGATTTAAAAGTCTCACTTCTCCAGTCAAGCACGATGAAGTATTCCACAATCCACAGTAGTGGAACTTGAAATGAAAATGCTTTGCCACTGATTAATCTTGGAGACTGTTAGCCTTCTCCATGGATATTAGAACTGATAAGTCTGCAGGCAGGATGGTACTAGTTCACTAAGGGTATTGTGGTTTATAAGCATCTCGTTTTTATTTTTTATTCATATGCACTGTTAGAAAGGAGCAATCATTACAAGAAGAATGTTACAGTGGTTTTTAGTAGATCACAGAATATTCCTTTTGTTACAACAATAGCAGGTTCAGCGAGTTTAAGGGATGTCATCATTGCTAAATGTTGTTAGACAACCTCTAGGTTTTCCTTTTCTATTGCTGGCACCAGTACATTGTCAGTCATGTCCTCTCTTCAACACCAAGACGAGCTGTAGTCAAGATGAAATGGGTGCATCACATAGAAATTGGCTGTCCACATTTATCTTGAGACACATGTAGACAGCCAGTCTCCTTAGCTCATTTGATCATGTTATCTGCATGTACGTGTGTTTCTTTTTGTGTATGTGTATGTATGTTTGTTTGCTTGTTCTCAATTCAGAGCAGTTGTATGGATGGTTAATTAAACATACTACAATGAAGTCTCTCTACATATTTACTTTGGTTACAATTGTGTTAAGTAGTCCCGTGATTTGATAAAATATGAGATTTGATGAAAAATAAACAAATTCGACATACAAATTCGAAACTCGTGCAAATATGCAAGAGAATGTAAACACACACTTTGGTGATAACAACCATTTGTCTGCCTAATTAAACAATCTTTTCAGACACCAGCAGTAGACAGTTTGAAATGTAATAATTTTATGGTTACAAATCCATCACACATAAGAACCTCCGATAGGACACGCTGTTCTGCAGTATGCATGAGCTATGACCTCTGACAGGTTCCTGACATCAGAGACACAAAAAAGGTTTCTGCACCTCCTTCCCCTCCACACTCCCCCATCCACACTCCAACCAAAACAAAACTCATGGGCCTGTTTCAAATCCCAAACTCTGTAAATCCTATGGCATGAGTCCATGAAGCAGTCCTTAGGAGGAGGTTAGTGTTTGGGGGATTAGCTCGAGTCCAGGTGGTCTTCATTTACCCCCTGCCCCCATAGGGGGCCGTGAGCTGCTGTAAGAGCTCAGCACATGGTCATCACAGCTTGCATCCGGTTCTGATCTCCTCTCCATCCACCTTGGCTCTGTTTTGGGTTTTTTTTGTTTATATATATGTGTGTGTGTGTGTTTGTGTGTGTGTGTTATTAAGAAGGTATTAGGAATGATAGGATCCATGGTGGACTCCATCTTCCATCATGTGGCCACTGTTTTACAGCTGTGGTGTTAGACTAACACTGCAAAACAAAAATGGAAATCTGGATAGTGTGGTTTCTTGAGATGTAACATGGTTCATGTTTTCATTGTTGGCTAACACATTCAGGTTTTCTGAAAATACAAGAGTATTAGGTAAATGTAAAATCTTTTCATATTTATAACAGAGAGTAATAAGAAAAGAAAGACAATGAGATGTCTGTAGCTGCTTTTCTAAATAATTGTGAAATAAGTTTGAGGTGAACTTCTGAATGACGTGAACAAATAAAAACATGAAAAAAGAAAATGGGAATTACTCTTGTTTCCGTTAAGTGCTCTGGGGCCAACAAACTAGACTGTGCAGTGGCATCAGGATGTGGTTGTATGCTACATTACATCACACTAGAAATAAAGCCAGTTGATTGTCAATTGCTTAAAGACCTCAAAA